GCTGCTGTGTTTTATCTGGGACGGTCTCTAATGGTTAACTTGGGGGATGAGGCTAGCAAACTAGGGTACCTGGGAGCCCCGTATCCCAAAGCACCCTGTACTGGGCGTCAGCTATTTTCGGCAGAGCTAACAACAGCCAGAATTAAATGTCATCCAATGGCAGAGGCTGAATGAATTCAGTGGGACTGTCTAGTGCTTCAGTCAGGTTTTTGGTATATCACATGCGTTGGTGGTGGTTGTCCCAGAGGAGATGGGCCAATTTGCACCTCCTGACAGCTACAGAAGCTCCGTTAATGGGAAAGCAGCCGTGATCCAGCCAGTGATAAGCGACCAGCACAGAGGCTGCCATTTTATACGACATTTACCTTTTCATGTGCCAGACAGCTATTTTCCAACAGCAACAGGGAGCACCTGGCAGTTTCTGCAGCATAAAAGGGAGGGAAAGCTAGACAGATTAAATTGCACCATCAGACTGTCAGCATTATTCCTGCTGTGGTTCACTTTTCGAGGCCCAGATGTGGAGGTAGTTTTTTTGTTTGGGTCACCTGTTTGGGCCATATCGTGTGAAGATGAGACAGACTGGAAAAGACAGTAATATTAGGAAGAGTGGAAGGCAGGAAGAGGCGAGGGAGAGCGGATGTGAGATGGATTGACTCAATAAAAGGAAGCAAGATCTTTGATGGCATAGAAACACAGCTCATAGAACCCCCAAGGGACAGTCAATTGATATCCCTCCAGAAAAAAATAAGCTACATCAACAGTTAAACAGTTCTTTCAGCCAGAATGTGAGATTTAATTTCAGAGAAATCTCCTCCCTCTCTCCCTCCCTCTCTCTCTTTCTCTCTCTCTCTCTCTCTCTCTGTGTGTGTGTGCGTGTGCGTGAGCGTGTGCGTGTGCGTGTGTGTGTGTGTGTGTGTGTGTGTGTGAGAGAGAGAGATGTGTCATCAAGTTGCATCCAATTTACAAGGATCCTAATAGGGTTTTCAAGATCAGTAAGATATTTAAGGAAGGTACTCCTTAAATGGGTACAGTGTAAGCAAGGCCAAAGTGTGAGACCAAAAATAAACAGCAGATTGCAGTTTGAAGCTCTGAATGAAGAAGCCTCAGAGGAGGCATTGCAGCTTATTTATTTAAAAACCATCAAAGGGGCAACCTCTGAATGGTGGGTCATGAAGAAGGAGATGTGTCTTCTCTGAAACACCAAAGGGATGGGTTGGGTTTGTTTGTTACCATTATAGTCATATTATTTCCAAAGATGTATCCATGCTAATCTGGCCTCAGCTTGTTGGCAAAGTGAGGAGAGACTGGTTCTGAACTCCCAAACCCAAATTCCCCATTGCAAATATTCTACATATTGTCATAAGAGCTGTTTCTCTCCAGGAACCCATGATTTTCAGGTCTGTGAAGGGAGATGAAGGAGTTTTTAACTAACGGCGGTCTTGATTTTGGGATCATTTGAGATATTCTCAGCGGGCCTCCCCTTAAAACATGAGACACCACATTTTAACTAGGACGTCAGGCGTGGCTCCCATTCAGCTACTGAAAATCCTTTTAGTTCCTGGCCTGAAGCAAGATAACCCCACTGCTCACACTGTGAGACCAGGTACCTTGAAGCCCATAGAACGGGATCTCCATCTGCACAAGCTAGCTGATTAGGGCCCATTAGTTATAGTCAGCACCTGGACAGCAACCCGAGCAGCAGAAAATGGGGCATCTCATCAGTCTTCTTTGCTAGGTTGAGATGTCTTCCTATTTCAGTTAGGTTTATTGTTTCCAAATATTCCTATTTCAGTTTATCGTTTATTGTTTTTCATGTGTGCATTAGCATATGCAAAAGCATTGCAATTCTCTCTCCTCCTTCATAATTTTTAGTAATGTAGTAGTTCTTTTTTGATGAGATGCATACGACCAAGCTAGGCAACAGAGAAAACAGCAGTGTAACTGGGTAGAATTGATTAAAACATGGTTTACATTTTTAAAATCTGATTTTTTAAGAAGTGATTTGAGTTTTTTAAAAAAGGAGTTTTTAAAATTTAAATCATGACTTAAATCAATTTGATTTTTTAAAAAATCATTATTTTTTATCCACCCTGCAGTGCAATTATCTTGTTCTCCCTGGTGACTTCTTTCCTCTAGTTTTGGAAAAGCTATACTGTAAGAGTGCAATCTCAGATTGGTACCCTGAAACTTTCAAAAGTACAATATTTTTTGTAGGTGGTTTGCATTTGTTCATACTGGATGGGGGGGGGGAATAGCTGCAAGTCCCACACACTCCTCACAGTCCCTGATATTAAGGATCATGACACTCAAGGAGGCCAAAAAAGACAACACGAGGAATGAAGCTTTCTTAGTCATGCCCCCTTCCTTCTGGAACAAGCTTCCAGCAGAGATTTGCCAAGCGCATCCCTCTCAGTTTTTAGGAAGCTAATTAAGGCTGAATTATGCAAAGCTCCCTTCTGCTAGTGTAAATTTGTCCTGAGATGTGCACATGCGTTTTAATTTGTGTATTTTATTTAAAAGTAGCTTTGGCTAGCAACTGTTTAATTGTATTTAATTGTATCTTTTTGTATGCATTATATTATGCTGGTTTTTTTAGTGCATGTTGTAAACCACCCAGAGAGTGGCAATACTAATGGGGTAGTATAGAAATGGAAATAAATAAATTAAAAATTACTGGGAGTTGTAGTCCAAGAGGTAACCTTTTTCTAAGCTCTGATTTCAGCACTGGTGGTCTTTCTTTCTTTCTTTCTTTCTTTCTTTCTTTCTTTCTTTCTTTCTTTCTTTCTTTCTTTCTTTCTTACTTACTTACTTACTTACTTACTTACTTACTTACTTACTTACTTAGATTTATATACATTCCCATTAGTGCTGGGTCACTATTCTGGGTGGTTTACAAAGTAAAAAACTACTACAAAGAACTAGCAAAAACATTATCTAAAAATTCAAGCAAGAGCACAACAAATTTTCAGAATAAGGCAAGACTGGAGGTGAGGCATTCAGATGGGGTCAATGTGAAAGGCCTCCCTGAATAAGCAGTGTTTTAAACTGCCTCTTAAAGGAGTACAGGGAGGGTGGCAGGTGTAGCTCCTCAGGGAGTTGATTCCATAAGCTTGGTGCCACCACCAAAAAGCCCCTACCTCTAGAAGATGGTGTTTGGGTCTCTCTCAGGTGCCTACATGGAAGAGCCTGGCCTGAGAACATTTGATGGGTCAGGTGATGACACTGGGGAACAATGCTCCAACAGTATGACTAGTGTGGTAACTGTGTGTGGTTCTCCATGGCAATGGTAGCAGCTTTATTTAGAAAACTTTGTAGCATGAGTTCCCAACCTTTAGACTGTGAACCCTGAGGGGGTCACAGAGTGTTTGCTGGGGGTCACCACAATTTTCAAAGGAGTGGGACACACCCTTCTCCGGTTGTCTTCTGCACATATCCCATCTCCTCACTTTCTTGTATCCCTCCCAAGTTAACGCTTCTTTGCTCTGCATTGTGGGGCTCCTGGATGCCTGCCCCCCAACTGTGCACTCTCCTTGTCCAATATCAATGATGGTAGTTCCTCAGCTCTAATGTCTGGCTTGGGTGGGGGAGCAGGAGAGGGAGGAATGGGAGGTGGGATCCAGCCACAACCCTTATGAGCCAGGCTGGCCATGATGGGGGTTGAGAGGTGAGGAGGCAGCAGCAAGTTGGAAGGGGAATCGGAGAAATGGGGTTGGGGAGAGAAAGGCTACCACCACCACCACTGGTGAAGCAATTTTGCCCTCTCCTCGCCTTCCCTGTGCACCGCATCCGCCATTGTAGGGCAGATGGCTGAGGAGAAGAATGTGGTGGTACCACCTCTTGAAGGGTGGATGAAAGAAGTGACAACTCCTTTCCTGAGGGAAAACTCCACCTCCCCTATTAAAACCGAGTTTTAACCCACAGTGACAACTCCTTTCCTGAGGGAAAACTCTGCCTCCCCTATTAAAACCGAGTTTTAGCCCACTCTCAGTACCTCCCTCCCCCAGAACCTGTTAGGGCAGTCATCTCCAACCTTGGGCCTCCAGATGTTCTTGAACTTCGACTCCCAGAAATTCTGGCCAGCAGAGATGGTGGTGAAGGCTTCGGGGAGTTGTAGTTCAAGAATATCTGGAGGCCCAAGGTTGGGGATCACTGTGTTAGGGGATTGTCACTTAAAAAAAGAGCAGGAAAGGTTTTTTTCCTGTTCTTATCTTGGATTTCTGTTCTCAAGTAGAAGCAAAATTTAGCAAATGGAGCTGTTCTTAAGTTGGATTGTTCTTAAGTAGGGACGTTCTTAAGTAGAGACCCCACTGCACCTCCCTTCCCCAGAACCTGTTAGGGGATTGTCAGGGTGGAGGTGCGGATTGCCCAGATGCAACTACAAGCTTCGCATTAAATATTAGGTTAGAATTATATTCTGAAAAATCAATTTCAATGTGTTTTCTTTATTCTATAAAATGCCTTTTTATGCAAATGTAGTAGGGGGCGTCTCGTTTATTCTATAAAATGCCTTTTTATGCAAACGTAGCAGGGGGTTTCTCAGGTTACTTGGTTGTTATAAAAGGGGGTTGTGACTCCAAAAAGGTTGGAAAATACTGCTTTATACCATGAGCAGCCTTCTGATGTGAGAATAGACCAATGTCATGCTTCAAATGTAAGTAGCAAGAGTGGGCATGCCGAAGTTCAAATCACTATGGAGCTCAGTCTGCATGACTGTCAGATAGTCACATGCCCCTGGTTTGGTCTATGATCTACCTCGTAAGGTTGTTGTGAGAACAATGAGCAAGAACTGTAAGTTCTGTTTTGATTGCCTTGGGGGGAAAAGGAAAAATGAAGAAATACAAAGTCACTGATGGAACTAGAATGTAGTCTCGAAGAGAAGCTGTCATTTTTGTGATTGATGCCTAATGCTGTGCTGTCTTTCATATCCTATTATACTCAAATGTTTGAGAGCAGAACTGATTAAATCTAACTTCCTCTTCCCTTTCTCATTCCTGGTATAGATTCGAAGACGGCGCCCAACTCCTGCTACTTTGGTCCTGAGCAGTGACCAGTCATCACCAGGTGAGAACAGATACATAATATTAGACTGCGTGGGGTCGTGGGTTGGAGGGTTGCATTAGGACTGGGGAACTATCTGGTCTGTTGATTGCAACAAGGGTCTCTCTCTAGGACTGGGGAGATCCTAAGACTGGAGAGGCCTGAGTTCACATCCTCTCTCAACTTGTTCTACCTCATAGAGTTGCAGTTGTGAGGGGGAAAAAGGGGGGATCCACATGCCACTTTGAGCTCTTCAGAGGAAAGATGGGATATAAATCTATGAATAAATATGTGAAGTCCAGATCAGGCTCCCCCACTAGTTTCCTATTCTTTGGAAAGGATGAGATCATACGTGAGGAGGCTTTGGGGCTGTGGTGTATGGCACAGCCCATGATCCCCAAGATTTACTGTTCAGCTCATTGTGCATTTGAGCCTCCTGATTCAGCAGCAAGAAAAGAGACATGGGACCTTAGCCTGTGTCAGCTGCTTCCATGGGCATTGATCACTCCCTCTTCTGTCTTGGTCTCATATCGCTGAAATTCTTGGAACAAGATATGCTCAGAGGCCTGTTTGCTAGGCCCATCAGCTTCCTGAAGGGCTTTCTTCTCCCAAGGCTATTACGCTTATTTCTGCTTTATTATGTGGTGGCTAAATTTCAATATAGGACTGTTGCTGAGTGAAAACCTTGTCTGACTCTACAGGTAGAAAACCTGTGGTTCAGCACATCTTGTGAGACTCCCATCCATCCCAGCCACCTTAGTCAAAGATTAGGAATGACAGAAGTTGTAGTCCGACATCATCTGAAGCACTGCTGGCCTCTCATCTCTCTCTAAGCCGGGAGAGCTGTTGCAGTCTTTCCAATGATGCTCCTGTGATAACATTAGAATCTTCACGGGTAGAGTCTGAATGCGTATTCCTTCCCATGCTCCCAGTTCCCTGATGAGGCCAACTCTTGAATGGCATGGGACCATATTGGACCTCTCATTTCTTTCTTTTGATTGGGCCTCCAGCAAGTAGTTCCACTGGCAATTCATGACTCATGCAGCGGCTATAAATGGCTGAAGAGATCTTTTGAGTGGATGCTTTTGTTCCAGTATTTCAGTCTCTAGTGCCTAGCTTTGCATTCTCATGGTCATCTTAATGTCTGCACAAGATGATCATATTTAATCCTTATACAGTACTTAGTGCTTACACAAGATGATCAGGTATTTAGTATAATTTTAACAGTGTTAGTTGCCCTACACTTTCTGCCAGTAGATCCTTTTAAATGTGTGTGTTTTAGATGCTTGCATACATTTTATTCTCACTTGATATGATCTTTTTAATATTTCCATGTTTAATCATTTGTAATGCTTCTTGTATATTGCTTTAATTCCTACCTCTTTTAGTGACCAATGAGACACTTGTTAACGTCCAAGACCAAGGATCTGAACTCTAGTTTCCTGAGCCCTAGTCCATCCCTCCATCCACTACACCTCATTAAGTATCTCCTAACCTCTGATGCTCCTTCTGCTGCACTGTGTTGTGATGGGTGTTTATAGAGTCAACTGGAAAGTGATAGCTTTTATAGTATTTATCCTAAGAAGATTTCATGGACCGACCAATCCATGCAATTAAGTCTGCTGTGGATGTCCAGAGGGTTTGGGCCTTCAACTCCCATCAACTCAAGCCAGCATAGCTAATGATCCCGAGTGGCACAGAAATGCCCTAAATAAATAAATCATTTGCACCATTATTGATCTCCCAGCCTTACGAGGTTTTTCTCCCATCCAAAGTAAAGCAGCCTTAGTTGGAGATGGTGATCCAGAAGACAGAAAGAGTGGTAGAAGATAGAACCATCAAGATAACAAAGCAGAAAACAGCAGGGAGTGGAAGGATTAAGCTCCTTTCCAATTAACATTTTTTTGAAAGTGCTTTGCATTGAATTAAAACAGGGACCTCATTATCTCCTAACCTCTGATGCTCCTTCTGCTGCACTGTGTTGTGATGGGTGTTTATAGAGTTAACTGGAAAGTGATAGCTTTTATAGTATTTATCCTAAGAAGATTTCATGGACTGACCAATCCATGCAATTAAGTCTGCTGTGGATGTCCAGAGGGTTTGGGCCTTCAACTCCCATCAACTCAAGCCAGCATAGCTAATGATCCCGAGTGGCACAGAAATGCCCTAAATAAATAAATCATTTGCACCATTATTGATCTCCCAGCCTTACGAGGTTTTTCTCCCATCCAAAGTAAAGCAGCCTTAGTTGGAGATGGTGATCCAGAAGACAGAAAGAGTGGTAGAAGATAGAACCATCAAGATAACAAAGCAGAAAACAGCAGGGAGAGGAAGGATTAAGCTACTTTCCAATTAACATTTTTTGAAAGTGCTTTGAATTAAAACAGGGTGGTAAGTGTAAAGGTTCCCCTTGATATTTAGTCAGTCGTGTCCAACTCTAGGGGGCGGTGCTCATCCCCATTTCCAAGCCGTAGAGGCAGCGTTTGTCCGAAGACAGTTTCCATTGTCACGTGGCCAGCGCGACTTAGACACGGAACGCTGTTACCTTCCCACTGAGGTGGTCCCTATTGATCTACTCACATTTGCATGCTTTCGAACTGCTAGGTTGGCGAGGAGCTGGGACAAAGCGATGGGAGCTCACTCCGCCGCATGGATTCGATCTTACGACTGCTGGTCTTCTGACCCTGCAGCACACAAAGTCTTCTGCAGTTTAGCCCGCAGCACCACCACGTCCCTTGATTTAAATCAAACTGATTTAATTCATGATTCAATTTTTTTTAAATGATTTGTTTAACAATTTAAATTTTAAAAATCTCTTTTTATTTAAACTGTGATTTAAAACATGACTGAAATCAGTTTGATTTTTTAAAAAATTGTTGATTTTTATCCTTCCTGAATTAAAAAATACAGTTGGGCAAAGATATTTCATAGTTGAATGAAACTTAAGAGAGAATAGGCTGACTAAATTCTGTCTAGATGATATCTCTGACCACAAGGCCTTTCTCCAAGACAGGATATTTTATAGACTATGACGAGGAAAACTCCTTGCTATGTTCCTCCTCAGTGATTCTGTTATGCCAGGTCCATGTGCTCCGCATATGAATGTAAGAAGGATTTTGCCTTCTTAACATGTGCAGAACAGATGAATGGCTGAAGATGGGTTACCCTGACAGTTTTCTGTCAAAAGTTGCAGAAACAGCACATCTCAGCCAAAATCTGCTCACAGTTATTCACTCACACATACATATATATATTGACAATCACACCTCAAAACCTCCTTTTTAAAAAAAGGGAAACACAGTTCATCACAAAAATTACTAACTAGCTTGCTGATATCACTTAGGTACTTAATATTTGGGGGAAGGATTGATATTGCACACACAGAGAGCAGTTGTCAGAACTGGAAAATGGTGGGTAGTTACACAACACTTTTTGGAGATAGAGATGGGCACGAACCTTAGTTCGGCGGTTCTGCCCAGTTTGAGGCAGTACTAGCACAGGTGTTCCACAGGTGATGTGCCCTCTTCTCTCCTACCTCCTCTGCACACTCACCCACTTAAAGCTTGCTTCCCTCCCTGCCTGCTCAGTGGGACTGCCTAGTGTGCACTTCTTTCCTCCACCTCCTCTGATGGCCACCCACTCAAAGGCAGTGCTGTGGGCTTCCCTTACCTGCTTCCGTATTTGAGTTTCTGCCCATCTCTCATTGGAGAGGCAGGTTCTTCTAACCACAAGACAGCTAGGTTTCAGGCAGAAAACCAACATTGGAGAGTATTCAGTGATAGAGATGGGTATGAACCAGCAAAACAGTGGTTCTTTGTGGTTCGGTGAAGACCATGACCCATGAATGGTATGAATTTTTGGGGAAAAAAATCACAAATCAGTTGGTTTTGGTTCTGAAGTCTGAGAGCCATAGAATGCCCCCCACCACCACCTAGAGACACCTAAATCACAGATAAACTTTCCCTGACTCTACGCTCCCTCCAAATTTGGTGAAGTTTGGACTTTGGATACCCGAGTTATACACCCTCAAAGCAAGTCTCCCCAGGAAAGTGGTTCATGACACAGTCTGCTGCTTATCAGGAGTGGATAGGGAAGACCAATGCCCTTTCCCCAAACCCCATAGACAATGCCACGCTGGAGGTCTGAGCCTGTTGTGTCGTCCAATTGACTGCCTAACCTGCCAATCTAGTAGTCTCTAGCTCCCTCCCAGGGCTGCCTAGTGCTTCTGCATTGACAGGAGCAGGCTGTCAGGGGCAAGCAGGGAGGAAATGGGCGAACAAACAAAACAAAAATCTCTAAAAATGTTCATACGTTCGGTTCATTTTGGTTCGTCGCTTTTGACGAACCTGAACCAGCAAAGCAGCAATTTTTTATAAACTTTCTGGTCCGATTTTTGGTTCGTGCCCAACTCTATTCAGCGTTATACACCAGAGTCAGTACTATAATAATCATGTGCTATCAAGTCAATTCTGACTGATGGTGACCCCTTCCAGGGATTCCTAGAGTACTCAGAAGTGGTTTAATATTCTTTTCTCCTGGGTGGGGGTTCACTGTGGGACTTTGCAGCTTGCCCAAGGCTACACATGCTGGTTCTTCCCCTGAGAGGCACAGTGGGGAAAGACAGATACCTAAAGCACTAAGCTATCCATCTGGCTAGCTGGTATTATAACCTAGGTTTATTTCTATGTAGCTGACAATTACCCGGTAGTTTCATTTGGGCCCCAGTACATCAAGATTGTTGCCAGCACACAAAAGCCCTCACACATTATGTTTTCATAGCGATCCTCCTCTGGGTGATGGCACCTCTTTTCCATATGTTGTTGCCTTCAAAGAAATCTATATTATCTCTAACTGAGGAGTGGGCATCTGTACCAGATGTTGTTGAACTGAAACTCCCATCAGCCCTCAAGCAGAGGGAGTGGTAAAGGAGCATTGGCGTAGCAGTCCAACAGCACCAAGAGGGTCACATGTTACCTATTCGTGCTCTGTTTCTGTTTATAACCTGATTTTGATAAATTTCTGGA